AAATTTCCAGGAATTTAATGGAGGCTGCGCGGATGATTGGGGTGAGCTAGAGGGATAGGAATTAATTCCTAAATCCTATTCTCAGCTGGAATGTGGAAATATTTGAGCCTAAAGTATGAATGAGAAAAATTTCAGCCCCGGTAAAGAGTTACATAAATTGTAAATTATTTCCAAAGGGATGTGTGTATGCAGACTTGAAACAAAACACAAGAGGAGAAATAACAAAGAGAATCAGAAATCACCTTAGAATTTTAGAACACCACTTGGAAAACAAAATAACTAAGTTAAACGATCTAAATTTAAGATTAGAAGAAAAACTAATCACTCCAAAAACCAAACAAAAAAAATAGAAAAAGAAACCAAAATAAAAATTAAGACAAAACCCACTATCCTCAGAACATCCTACAAGAGGACTCCTCACATGCACCGAGAAGTAGGAATATATTTTAAAAATAAGGTTTAGATATGCAACCAAGGGTCCACCACTGAAAAGGGGTCCAATGTCCTGACCAAACTCTCCAGCAAAATTGCACCAAAACAGCCAACAAATCTTTACAACGGAACCAGAAGAAAGATACTGGGTGGAGTGGAACTTGCGTAGCCAGACGAAAGGGTGGAGAAAGCTCGCAAGCCTTCCAGAGGTAGAAGAAGAAGTGGACAAAGCTATCAAAGCTTTCCAAGAAGAACCGCAGGTATAGCAAACTTTGCTCTCAATTAACACCAACCTTCTTCTTCTCAAAATATCTCATATATATGGCAATAGAGGGGAAAACTAAACATCCCAAAACCTCTTCAATCCACACTAAATGAGTTGGAAGAAAGGCCAACAGTCACTATACGAAATCCCAAACGCACAGCAAGAAAAACAGGGAATAAAGACGATCCCAAGAGATATACTTAGAGCCCAGCAGCCAAGCACAGTGACCAAACAACCACATTCATTTCCGTAAAAAGGGGGACACGGGGCAATAAATTCAAGAGCAAACCAAAGGCAAAACTAGCAGGGAACCGTAGCCAGCAAAGAGGCAACAGGAAGAGGAAAAGGCAAGTTCCATCACCCAAAATCTTGGCACCACTTCAACTTTAAATTCAGAACTAAACATCAGCTCATAATGAGCTACACCACTACTTGATATTAATGAGCTGGCCACTGAATTCCAACAACTAAAGCTGAAACCGAAAACAGCCAAGGCCCCGACATGAAACCAGCAAACAGCCCAAAGACAAGGTGGACCCCAAAACCAAGCAACCCAAGGTAAGCCATAACCCAAAACATTTCCTACATGATCAATTGATTACACCATCATTGGATAGCTAAAAATAAACAAAAATAGAAAATATAACTAATATTGTTCAAAACAAAATAATGCAAAAAATCTAAATGCAACAAATAAAAAAAAAAAAAAAATAACAGGATGATTTAGAGTTAGGAAAACAATTTAAAATAAAAATTGTGGTTGGAATTTTCGGTCAACACACATTTTCGAATTTTCGAAATATTTTCCAAAAGGAATAAGGTTAATTACTGCCCAAGGTGGAGGTGATGTGGCCGGCGGCATGCAAGGGAAGGGAAAGAGTTTTAATGCTTAAATTGTGATTACTTAATTGGGGGTGTGGAGTTCAGGAAAGAAATAATTAAACCCTATTTGAATTTGAAATTCAAATAAAATTCATTTTTAGGAATGAAAATTAGGAAAGAAATGAAATTTCAAATTAGTGGAATTTGAAATTTTGAAACCGCCAAATATTAACCACCCCCAAATTAAGAGATAGATTCATGTTATGATGTGAATCGGCCTTCAGATAACTTTGTAGAGTTTGTTTTTAAGCTGGTATTGGAAGTAAATAAAATTATTGCCGTGTCCTAATACAAGTGATTCATGCTTCTTCAACACAGAATTATTGGGTTAACCGGTTAAGGTTCATGTTGTTGTGATGTTAACTTCCTTATCCATGTGATGATTATTTCCTTTATCATGGTTGAATTTAATTATGCGGGTGCCAATGCATCTATTGTTATGTTTATCAGTAAAACTTTACAAAAGTAGTCCGTTGTAGTTCGTTTTGCCCCTAAAGTTGATGTGTTTTTGCAAATTCTTAACCAATTTCTTGTTAAATGCCACTCCTAATGTTGTGAGAACATGATGATATGCCGGTTTAGTGTGAACCGGCCGAAAGGGGGGCCGGCTCAGATCGTGTACAGGAGGCAGAAGTAGTCCGCCTCCTCTAGTGTATTCCACCCAAAGGGGTGGGCCCCACTTCTCCAAGCAATTTCAAATTGAAAAGGAGTGGACGGCTAGGGCTTGGGAGGGAAATTAAATTAGGAAAACTTTTGTATTAAAGAGGAAGAGAGGATTATGTATGATTATGTTTTGATTGATTGGAATTAGGGTTTCTTGGCGACTTGGGCTTTAGACTCTCTTGTCTAAAGATTTGGGAGAGACGATCTTCCTCTCGAATTGAGGATCTATTGTATCTTTGCTTTGTTCTTTTTTCCTTTTGTTTTCTATAAGAATTGCTATCGTTTGATTGTTCTTCCACTGCGATTTCTTCGTTTGCTCGCTATTTTTTACCGATTATTGTTAGGTTTGTTTGCAAACTCAAGTAGATCCGATAGGATTACTTGCAAACTCAAGTATTTCCTATCACATGAGTTTCTTGCAGAAGCATGCATGCATAATTTAATCAAACACAGTTATCTTTTTTTCCATGGAAATTATTGCTTAGACAAACTTGCGCCTAGATATTATTGCTTATGATATGTTTTGCAACTTCAATTGAATATCTGCTTCGTTACACAGGAACTTTTGAAAGAAGAGCCTTATACAGCAGAAGACATCGAAGGAATCACATTGGATCCACTGAAATCTATCTTTGAAAATTCACCTACTTCATTGGATGTTCTAAAGGCTGCTAAAAATTTTAAGCTATTCCAGGTAAACTTGGACTCCCGTTCATTCAGGCAATATTGGCTTTTTTTTTGCCAAATACTTCTTTCTCATTCTGTAAAAGGCAAGGATCATTGTAGTATCCACATGACGGAAATTTCTGTCTCTAATGATTGTCAAGATTATAGAGTGAAGCTTACCGGCAAGAAGTTTTCTTATGATGTCATTATTTTCTTTTCTTTTTTGATACCTTGATTTTTGTGGATATGTTGCAACAGTCTCACCTGCCATTGGTTCAGTTTAGCCAATTGCTATATCCTAGATTCTTCTAGTCTTCTATTTGAAGATTTGGAGCTTTTTTCCATGCAACTTTGTCATACACACATTACCTAAACCATGCGTAACTATCTATGGATTTTTACTATTTTTACAATTTTTTCCCACTTGACAGCTTTTTGTGGTATTACTGTGACGTTCCTCACTTGAGCTTCGTTGGGACAACATTCTTACTGCTTTCTAATGCAATTTTTTAGTACAAAAATTTTTAGTTTAAGAAATTTTTATTGAAAAGTCATTTTGGAAAGCAATAAAAAAGTTGTCACAAACGAAACCTTAGTATACTTATATTCTTGTTATATCTTATTTTTTCTCACTTCAGCTTTTTCAGCATGCTCATCTTCTGTCTTCTAAGCGGCTTGGAGCAATCAGAATTAGTTGAATATTGTATGGTTTACCCTTTTAATCATACCCTGTTTAAGCTCCTAAATAGTTATCTCACGGACCTGGTCAGAGTTTTGGCTTTGGGAATATTTGTTCAAGAAGACTTGGTTAAATACACTCTTGTCCTGGTTACTTTATGTTTGATAGAGTCCCTAGCTCAAATGAGAAAGATTGAAGGTTAATATTAGATTGATAGTAAGCCATAAAACTCCCATCAAAACTAATGAAATAAATTCAAGTTTGAATTCTTATAGTGTGTGGGCTCCGAAAATTCAGCCCCAGCCTCCGCCTGATTGTTGCTTTTCTTCGGCAAGGTGTTTTAACGAATTAAGTTCCAGGGTAAATTTTGGAAGAGATGGGTTTGTAGATAAGACACTATCCAGAGATTTCACCCTCATTTTGCTAGGACTTTATGATCTGAGTTCTAGTTTCCTATAGACGCAAGCCCTATAGTTAATTACCCCTCCCAATCATGAGAGAGAACTTTCGATTAAGGCTAGTCGTCAATCAGATACGTAGAATATATGTGTTATCTGACATATAGTAGCAACATGGGTTTGGGATTTGGAATATTTGCAAAGTTTGATATTTAAAATTAGAAATTTTCACCACCTTGCACTTAAAGCGGATGATGGGGGAATGGATGATGGACTCGATCAAGATCCCATGGTTCTGTCGTCCCGGGCCATCGTGGTCCCTGGTCTAGTTAGTCAGAGGAGGTAGCCGACCCAACCTGACAGAAGAATCCTTGTCGGCAGCCATGTGTTGCTTTGTCCAAGGGAACCTTGTAGACCTAGGGTGAATGCTTGTTTAAGGGGACAAATTTGAATTTATCTTAGTTAATAGAGGGCTTTGTGCCCTATCGATTATATCATATTGATTCATATCTCAAGGATTTGATGTCATTAAGGAACGTATTAGCTCTGGTCATAACCAGTATTTAGTGGTGTCATTTGACGGTGAAACCACTCGATTCAGAGGGCCTCGGGTCATAATCGTTTATCCTGCGGTGCCATTTGGCGGCAAACCGCCAGTCAGAGGACACGTACCACGTCCAATCTGGCAGGAGATTGTTTGAGAATGGATTCTAGTGATATTTTTTACTAGGCATTTGGATTTTTGTAAGCTGAAGTATTTTTCAAATTTGTCCACCTTGGCAAATTGTTGCAAAGGGTGGATGGATTTTGCTTTAGGTGCTTAATGGTTAGATTTCCGTTTTAAATATTTGGAATTTGATGGTTTTTGGATTCTTTGGAGCTTTGAATTTTCAAGGTATTTGGGTGGCATTTTGAAGACATTTATGGATCCCTCCAGTTGAGATTTACATTCAACAGGCCATCATCGGGGTGTACTGGGGTCATTTGAAATTTTTTTGTATTTGAACCTTGTCGACTCTATCGAGTTGTCGACAGAGGATCGAGTTTCGTAGGCTTTATGCCATTGTGAGTGAATTTTCTTAATTATAGGCCTTGAAGGCCTAATATGAATGTATTTAGACAAATATATCGGTCACCACTATCATATATTTGTTTGATGGTTCGAACCTTGTCGACTCCTATTGATCTGTATAGAAGGATCAGGTTCGAACTTGAATTCATTTATTGACCCGCGCAGCATCCCTAGACGTCACGTGTATATCCAAAACACACTCGCCGGGGCCTATGTGGGTGTTTGGGACATTTTATAAATAATTACTAAACCTTGTCGACTCTTATTTAGCTTCTTAGGAGGATCGAATATGAATTTATTGATCCACGCAGCATCTCTAGACGTCACGTGTATTCCCACAACATGCTGGCCGGGCCTATGCGGGTGTTTGGGGGCGTTTTATAAATATTTACTAAACCTTGTCGACTCCTATTTAGCTTCTTAGGAGGATCGGGTTTGAATTTATTAACCCGCATGACATCCTTAGATGTCACGTGTGTATCCAAAACACGCTCGTCGGAGCCCATGTGGGTGCTTGATTGCATACCCCTTTAGTGTACCTATGTGCATACATATTACAGTGCATGTGTGGGGGTACTTTAAAATATTTGTAAACGCATTCTGTTCGCTTGCATAGATGTTGCAGATCCGATAGCGTGGCGTAGTAGCTTGTGAATTGAGCTGTTTGCTGCTTTGTACATGCAGACTGTCATGCACTACTTATTGCTTTCTGCAGGTGGATTATAGTGCACTAACAAATCTCCTGCTTTGGGTCGTAGGAGCTTGCACTTGTTGAAGCTCTTTTGTATTTTGCTCATTGTCATCCATAAGTGGACTACTGTATACATGAAAGGTCCTCTATGTTTATTTGTAGATGCCCATATATATTGTAGATCTTTGTCCCCTATCATTGCCTGCATTCAAGTTGACTGATGATCTATTATATTCATCTACATCTTCATTAGTAGTCCCTTTCGTAGATTTGCAATACTTGTGAGTCTTTCTTCACGGATTAACACCTTCATTGTGCATTCTACATAGTCGCCACCTTCATGAACTATCCACTACGCGCATTATGGCTCATTGGTTATTTGATACATGTGCTTGCTATTTAACCTCGTAGAGGGGTTGTTATATCTTCATGTATTGTTTGTAAATGTATCACTACATTCATAGCTCATTCAATACTATCATCCATTAGAGCTCTTGTATGATAACCATTGAGTTGAGGTGATGATTCCTATTGATTATTTCTTGGGGACAAGTCATGTTTGATCTTATGAATGATCTCATAGGCTCTAATAGCCCCCATTTCATAACTTCACAATCTTCATGTTATTTGCAAAAAAATCCCCACTTGCAAATTCTTGGCCTTCAAAGGTGATTTATAGCAAGTGTAAGGAACTTGATACTATCCTCAATGTCTTTATTCTTATCCACACGACTCTTACAAGTCACGTATAGCAGTCCAAAAATTTCATGCCAGAGTTTATATCCAACTTATGCATAAATCCCTGTTTGAATGTATGACATTGGTTTGAATGCATTTAAATGATTGACGGAGCCGCTTGTTTGAAGATCTTTGCATTGTTTCTTATGCACATGTCACTACATTCTCCGTTTGCTCCTTATTGATGATTGCTTGCGAGTTTGTTTTGGAACTTTGGTCATTACAAGTATCGTGTTCAAATCTAGGCATTATCCAACCTTTCTTACACTTGGACTTGGAAGCTTGTAGTTTCATTAATGACATTATTATACTTGAATGGTTAAGATTCTCTTCTCAAATACTTAGATTTTGATCACTTATTTGTTAAACCAAAGTCTAGTCCCAATTGTGTCCTTACTTGAGTTCAAGTAGCAAGCTCAAGGTATATGTCCCCTGCTGTCTTATAGAGTTCAAGTAGCAAGCTCAAGGTATATGTCCCCTGCTGTCTTGTAGAGTTCAAGTTCTTTTACATCTTTTCCGAATTCAAGCTCAAGTATGGTTCAAATCCACAATTCCAGTTCATGTTCAAGTACAAGTCTTCTGCGGTCCAAGTCAAATCTTTGCTCAAGTTCAAATGTTCAAGTCATGCTTAATATGCCATCTTGAGTTCAGGTTCATTTGTGTTCAAGTCTTAGTTCCTTGAGTCATGTTCGAGTCAAGTTTGAATTTGTATTTGGTTTGAGTTCAACTCAAGTCTTACATAAGTGCTTTATGTTCGTTCAAGCCCACATTTTGTTCGTTGTGGTTTATTTATATTTTGTCTTTGGTTCAAATTCAAGTTTAATATGAATTCAAGTTTGGATCCATGTTCTTCGTGTTGGAATAAGTCCAAATCAAGTCCAAGTACGTTCTTGCGTTTACCCAAAATTTCGACAGCCTTCCGGCGTCTCCCCCATTTAGGTGCAAACTACGGGAAATTGGGCCTTCCCATCATGCTAAGAAAAGCGTGTATGGTAGGTGTCCTTATATTTTTTTTGATCCCCCACCACGCTAAGAAAAGCATGTATGGGTCTTCGGTACCTGTTGTAAAGGAAAATCAATCGTTTCCCCGCAAGCGGGTACTTATAGGTATCCCCACTTCGTCGTACGCGTCACACCGGGTTCCCATCCCACCACTCTAAGAAAAGCGTGTATAGGCAGTTTCCCGGTGCGCCACGAACGCTAGAGAAGGGATTTTAGGTGATCACCCGATTCGTCGATAGCACTGCGACAAACTTCCTCCTACCACACTAAGAAAAGCATGTATAGGTGGTCGGTTTGTTACGTTGCAAGCGTTGAAAGTGGGTTCTCAGAGTTTTAGGGTTTAGGAGTTTATACCTTTATGACCGGCGGGTGGAGGGCACGTAAATTGAGACAAACACATTTCTTTTTAGTCTCTTTTTTGTTTCCCTTTTTTTGAAATAACAATAATAACAACACCATTATCGTTATTATTAACACAAATACTAACCACAATATTATCAAGAATAATATTGTTATTAATAATAATGTTAATAATAACAACTACTAATTACAACAACCACCATAACAATAAAAATGATACAAATTAGACTTAAACAAAAACTTACTATCTCGGGTTTAACTTAAATGAGTGAGGTTTGGGCTTGATATAAGTGAAATGAGGTGTTGTTTCGGTTAGAAACAAGTGGAGATGGGTTTAGGGTTTAGTGGGGTCGGCTATATGAGATTGAGCTTGAGCCCTCTGCGTGAAATAGAGGTATAAGGCCTGAGAGAGGCATCGGCTAGGGGTCTTATGGAGCTCGGCTGCTTGGGGAGGATGAGGTCTGGGTCTAGGTGAGTTCGGCTTCGGGTAGGGGAGATCGGGGCTGAATCAGGAGGAAGAAGCAGAGGAAAGTGTCGGCCTTGGCTTGAGGCTTCGGTGAGTTTGAAGAAAGCTTTCTTCCCCCCCCCCTCTCTCTCTCTCTCTCTTTGTTTGTGTGAGAGGGTAAGTCTGCGACTGAGTGGAGATCGCAGAAATGGGAAGCAGCGACGGGGAGAGTTTGGTCGTGCATGGATTGCGAATGGAGGGAGCCCTGGAGGTGTCCGCTCAGTTAGCTTTTAAAGACGTTGGAGAAAAGTGATCGAGAGCGGGATTTGAGCAGGATTCGTGGGAGGCGACGTGAGCGGCGTCGAGTGCACAGTAACTTGGCAGGATTTCTTGTGGGATTTAGGGGATCTTCTTGACATATACGAGGTGAGCTGCTTTTTTCTTTACCTAGAGGTTAACATAGTGGTAGAGTATTCCCCATAAATAGTATGTCTAAATTTAAACAGATTGTGGTGAGGAGGAAAGGTTGAACTAGGATGATATTATAACAAATTAATGGAAAGGAGAAAAATCCAAGGGTGTTGAGGAAGGTTATGAGTTAATAAAAAGTTGAAAGATCAAATTGTTACATGTGATTGGTGCTTATTGTAACACCTCAAGGCCTAAAGGAGGAATTTAAACCTACTTTTCCTATAGATTTGCCAATTTTCAATCATTTATCATTTCACTAAAGCCAACTAATCATTCAAAATAATATAAAATAGGTATTCAAAGTGCGCATATAAAATATTTCTTCTAAAATAATTAAATCACAATAGTATAGATTACAATAATTTCAACAAAACAAAAGTACAAGCTGAACTACAAAATCATGCGCACTTTTCAAAATCAGACTTCCTGCTTTTACCATACTCAACCTACTCCGCATAACTCTTACCCTTGTCTGGAACATTACAAACAACAGGGTGAGTAAGAAACTTAGTAGGCCAACCCCTTTTTTCCCATAACAGAGTTAAATTCACAGCTCAACATGAAAATAAATAAAATTATAAGTGTCATTTACATTACAGTTTTGGGTATATTAGTTCATGTATAAAAGTAAATGTAAAAATGCACATCCATTAATGTCCCTTATATTTCCTAAATTTGACCTCCCACATGCTACAGACAGGTGCATAGTAGAGCCAAAACAGAGTAGAGTATATTCCAACACAGAGTCAGTTCAAAGCCATGATAAAGTATAATAATCCAAAATAGAGATATATTCACTTTCTGCCTAAGCAGAACATTTCAGAGTATATTTTTTTCCACAACAAAGCTCTAGAATGTCATGTAATGCATGATAATGTAAATGCAATATGTAACTGAATAATTTAAAACAATTAGAGATTAAATATCAATTTTTATAAGAACCCTCACATTTCAGGTGCCTATGCAAATTTCTCAGAATTTTACTAAATTTATAGAGATTATGTAAAATGCTAAATTAACATACTTTGTCAACTGTACTGAGGTTTAGAGATGCTACCATTCTCCAGAATCATCAAAATTTCATATAGAGTAAACTGACCGATGAAATTTTTCATTCTTACAATCAACTTATCTAGAATAGAGTATATAAAAATATACTAAAAGTTATACGGTAAAATATTTTTCAAATTTAAGAAAAATACATTTAAAAGAATATCTTCTTATAAACACTGAAGAATTTGAAATAAAAAATATGGCATGGGCTGCCTATCTCAAGCCCAACAATTTTCCTAACTGACTGGACGGACGATTGGTTGGGAATATAAGTTAACACCACGCAATGAAACAAACAATAAAGTAAAAACAGTGAAAAGTAAAAGGACATCAGGATTTAACAGGGAAAAACTCAAAATTGGAAAAAAATCACGGAGTCACAAAAAAATCCCCAATGAAAATTAAGGAGGAATAAGTATAGATCTCTCTTATATCTTGCTCTCTCCTTGCTTCCCTACACTTTTGCACTGTTCTCTCACACAAAACACAAGAGAAATTCAAGTAAAATCACCAAGGGACACCACCTATTAAAAAAATAAGAAAGAAAACTGTCCAGTCCGCTTCCAGTATTGCAGTGCCAATTTGGAGTGTTGCGGCGCTCAAGCATCTGTAATCATGATGTTGTGGGGAGGATACCCTGCGCCCCCCAGTGAGCAAGACATATTGAACTGGGGCCCGAGGCAATAGTACAACTTGATTGATCTACACAATCATATTCCACACAAACTAACATAATTTCCTGATCTTGAACTCTAAATCCTCTACTTTTCCTTCTCTTCTTTCCTTCTCCTCTCCCTTTCTTCTCCAACAAATTGAGGGTGCAAGGGTTTGATCAATGGGTTTATATATTTTTAATATTTAAAAATTGCTAATTCAACTTAGCGTCGCGGTGCCCAAATTCCAACGCTGCAGCTCTCATAAGGAATCTTCCAGATTCTCCCATGATCTCCTAGATCTCATCCCCAATGCCGGGATCACACTACTTGGTACCGCAAAGCTCTCCCTACTTAATTTTTTTCTCATTTTTCTGAGAGCTCCTGGGTCGAGGCATTGCCAACTGGCACTTCCGTGCCGGCAGGGGAAAATTTCAAATTTTGAATTTTTATGCCTCAGACCCCAAACTTTGACTATTTTCCATCCCATTCAACATCTTAACATTCCTACTTACCATAAACTCAAAATTAATGATCTTTAACGGAAAGTTATTTGAATTTCAGCAGATGGATATCACACTTATGCTCATTACTTGGGTTAGAAGAGTCTTAAAAATTAATTTTGGGATGAGATGGATGAATGACTACAACATATAATTGCTTAAGGATAGTTATGGAGGTTATTTAAATTGTCATATACTGTAGAGGATTCAAGGTGGTTATGGAATAAGAGATATAAATGTAATGAGAGAAGCTATATTTTATTTTGCTGTAGTTTACGATATTGCATTAGTGGATGCATAATTAAAAAAACTTGTAGAACATATGAATTTTATTTGGTATGATATTAACGATTATTATCCAATATTATTAGAAGACAATGTCATATTATGTGTGATAGGTTTAGATATCCTAGATCTGTTATATATATATATATATATATAATTTCTAGTGGTACAGCTGGATGGTTAAAATAGAGAGTGCTTCTGGAGTTTTGTGTGATAAGAGAATAACATGGAGGCTTTAAATTTTAGAAAACTACAACTAAGCCAATAGTGTTGCATTGATCTGATATTTGGTTGTAAAAATCATGGATATCTAAGTTGACTGTGATAGAAATGAGAATTTTAAGATGAATTTTTGAAAAAATAAGGAAGGATAAGTCAAAGAATTATTGTATTAGAGAAAAAAAATTGAAGTATCATCTTTCAAAGATAAGATGACTAATAATAGATTTAAGTGGTTTGAACATTTACAACAAAGGATATAAAAGACCTAAGGTTACATGAATATAAGTTAATCAAATTAATTCATGAAGAATTGGGTGAACATCTTAAACAACTCTCAATAGAAATGAATGTAAAATGAGGATTCATAGAACTGACCCCAGTTATTTGGGATATGTCTAATGATGGTACTGATGACTTTCTGTTTGATCAACTTGTATGGAATTTTCTTAGGTTACCTAATATGTTAGTCGATTTAATCCTTCATAACTGTGTGATTAATTTTGTTTGACATTTTTTGTTTCAGCGAGCTTCCCATGTATATTCTGAAGCTAAGCGTGTCTATGCTTTCAGCGACACCGTGTCCTCAGATCTCAGGTTCATTCCCATTCAGCCTATTTTTTTCCTATACTACTTTAGTTATTCATTTACGGTTTAGATGCCTTAATTTACTTGTTGATCCATTGAACATGTTCTTTCTATGAAAGTGTGCCTTTTCCATCAAAATATATGAAACTGGCTGAGTTCTATACCGTTAAATTTTCTGGGAAGGAATCTAACACATTTTCAGAATCCTTCATTTGAATTTGCATCACGCTTCTCTCTTTCAAAAATTCTATTATCTTGCTCTTTTTTTTTACGTGGATATTTCAAACTCTCTGATATGCCAAATGATGTCTGAATTTTGACTTTGCCTTTTCTTGTGTTGGTTAATATCAATTGATAAGAACCATCATTTCTTGTATTTCCATTTATTGCTTGTAAACTTGTTAGTTGCTTTTAAAGGATCAGTAGTTGTGGAGTTTGCTTACCAAGATAAGACAAGCGCTAAGTTTTGGCCTCGGACTGTTCTTCAAGCTGATTTTCACACTTCATCTTTATTTGTTAAGTTGTTATGCATTTATTCGTTCCACAAAGAGGGTCTTTATAGTGGAGCAATTTTCTTGGCCACACTCTACTGGTAGTTGTTAAAGATGACTTGAAATATGGCACAAATTTATCAATATTCCATATCCTGATGAAATTTTTCTAACGAGACATTTGTAAAAGGAAACAACTTTATTTTTGTGCTTTTGCTACTCATTTTATTGACATAATTATATATTTTGGTGAGACATTTGAAAAAGGAAACAACTTTATTTATATTGTGCTTTTGCTACTCATTTTATTGACATAATTATATATTTTGGTGGTGGTGTTTGAAGATTAAAACAGTTGCAATAATCTTTTGCAGTGATGAGGACAAGCTTCAAAAGCTTGGGGACCTAATGAATGACAGTCACTACAGCTGCAGTGTTCTGTATGAATGCAGGTATGACCAGCCTTTCTTCTCATCTGATTTGCATAGAAACCTTATGTTGTCTTCCATGCTGATACAATTTGAATTAGTTCTACTTGATGAATTTGAAATATCAATATTTCAATTAGGATTTACATAAATGTCATCAGTTCTTTCTAATTTATATATTTGCATTAATTTTTTTCTTATTTACTTGAACACCACCAAATCTTCTACATCCTTAAAAATGCCAATTTTGGAGCCCCAATTAGTCATGTTTGGGTGAATTTTAGTTATAAAAATGTGGTAAGAATCCTGCAGCCATTATTTTTTGTAGGAGATTATGAAATAAAGTAAAACAGTTAATCCTTTCTCTCCCACCATTGTCAATATCTGTTTGTTTGATAGTCGGTGATGGTACATTTTTTAATGGGTGCAAATTATGTAATACTGAAGATTTCAGTTGCAGTTAAATAAATCCCCGTATTTTAAATTATTTCTGTTTAGATTACTGAAGGTCTTGAGCATCAATCTCTTTGTGAGTTCGAGTGGTTGTATGATTAGACAATAAATTAATTTTTTCTGACATCTTAATTAGGATAGGCTTATGTCATACTTGTTTAATTTTGTTAACTAGGGGGGCATGGTTCTTACTATCTTATAATAAAATAACAAAAATGTGACAAATGGGAGAGCAAGGAATAAGTATTAGGTGTTGTGCAATCATTTTTTCAAGATAATAATTTATTATTTCATTCATTTTTAGGATACTTTCTTATAGGCTCATTATTAAAAAAATTTGAGCTTAGCTCAAGATTCTCTTAATTCAATAAAACTCTTGAGTTGAGCCCAAATGTGTTATTGGTTGGCTTGATCCTATTTTCAAGCTAGCTTTAATCTTTGAGTATAATTTAGAATGATAAATTGATTATTATTATGTAATTTTAATTATGTGATAGTTTTAAAAATTAAACTATCAAATTTATCTTTAAATGATTCATTTTTTAGGTGTACTGAAAAATAAAATATAGAAAATACTGCATATGTAATGTTAAATATATTCAATCAACGAAAAAAAAGGAAATTACATTTTGAAGTTGAACTCTCATCTTATGTTAAGTCTTTAAAAATGTTGGAGATTATTTTTTATGTCCTTTAAATATTTAAAAAAATGTTATAATTATTTGATAGGATAAATTCTTTTCAAATTAAAATTTTATAGTAATTATGATTAGAATGCAATAATTAAAAGGCTATATGTTATATAAATTAAATTACATATTAAATTGATTGGGTGGAAGTGATTTGATTCTTATGACTTTTTTTAGTTAAAAATATAAAATTTCTGGAGGGAGCTCTATGTTAAAATGGAGCTGTCATTACTATGGAGTTTTTATGATTTGATTATTGATAGACTATTATTTATATGGATAGCTCAGCATAACAAAAGTTTGGTTAATTTTATTGAACATTTGTGAAATTCAAAATCAATTTGATGTACTCTCCCTTTTTTTTTTGTATATTTTGTTTCTCCAGTTGCCCTGAGTTGGAAGAGCTTGTGAAAGTTTGCCGAGATAATGGAGCACTTGGAGCAAGGCTTACCGGTGCTGGGTGGGGTGGTTGCGCTGTTGCTCTGGTTAAAGAGAACATTGTTCCTCAGTTTATTCTTAATTTGAAGGTTGATTCTTCTTCCTCTTATCAATCATTTGACATATTTCACATCTATTTTTCAAATGCTCGAATTTAAATGATAGATTAATTAAAGTACATGGTCTCATCCACCTATAACTATGGGGCTGTAGGCCAATAATTTTCTAGTGATGTCACCTTCTTTTATATGATTTGATGTAGGTGTTATTGTGGTGTTTGGTTGGATTAATTATTCTGTGCAGACGCTGAACGATGTAGGGAGATCAATCAGTATGCGTTAAGTCATCCCTGTGCTCGGTACCGCTGACGTGGCACATTCTGATTGGTGTCTATCTGCATCTGGTCTCCGCACAGAATAATTTCTCGTTTGGTTTATACCCAAATGCCTTGATTCTAGAACAATTTGTTATACGGAACATATTTTAGGTTTTGTTTGGGACGGTTTTATTATTGTTGCTTAAAGTAATTGTTTAGTACAAAAATTAATTAAATTTTTTGTATTAAAAAATTGATTTAAAAAACAGTAAGAAAATTGACCCAAATGAAGTCTTAATTTGTTGGTTGAGAATTTGGACTTCCAATTAAGAGACCTTGTAATCAAGGCCCTGCATTATTGAATCATTCAAAAGTTCTTCACATTTTAGGCTTTGTTTGGGACAACTTTCTTACTGCTTTCTAAAGTAGCTTTTGAGTACAAAAAATTCTTAAACTAAAAAAATGTATATACTAAAAAGCTGCTTTAAAAAGTAGTAAAAAAGCCATCCCAAACGAAGCCATAATTAGTAAAAAAAAGCTTTTTATGTCTGTTTAAAAGCTATTAATGTATTCTTCATGAATACCATTCTCTAGTGTTTGTTCAGTATGATTCATAAAGTCTTTCCAACCAAATTTCTGAGCTTCCCCACCATTGCAGGAATCCTTCTACAAGCCCAGGATCGAGAAGGGCATCATCAACAACAATGAACTGGGCCTCTACGTATTCGCGTCGAAGCCTTCCAGCGGCGCAGCAATATTCACATTTTAGATTCTTCTGGTAATTTATTATGTATTGATCATCCCTCAAATGAAGGTTCTTGAATCATGCTGATTATTTAATAAAAACATTTTTACTAACGGTTGACCATCTTATTGGAGCGATAAGCGCCTTCAAGCTGGGAGAAATTATTCTGTGCGGACACCGGACGGTCAGGAGACCAATCAAAACGTATCATGTTGCCTGGTATAGAACATTACCGAGCAAAAGAAAAGATCGTGGTGCATTCTGATTGGTCTCTGGATGCCGTTCAAGAACCGCACAGAATAGTTTTTCTCATGCTAGACAGAATTTCTAAGAACTTAGTAATTAATAATTGGTCAGTGCTTCTAAACCTGGGTTCTTTTAATAGCTCCCTTAACTATGATAACTATGGTATTCACTTTTATTTTATTTTCCTTTTTTTTAATGGATTATTCTTTTTTTTTATTTTAATTTGTGAAGTTGATGTGGAAAAAATAATTTGATTATTTTTATTGCAAAAAAGGCTTTTCATCGCAAAAATTTTTAAAAAGTAATAAGAAAGTTGTAAGAAATAAAAAGTCGGATAAAATTATAATTATTGTTTGAAAAAGTATAGTAGTTAGGAAGCTATTTGAACCGATCCTAAGTTATTGTTTTGATTAATTAGGCTAATTAATCAAATTGAAAATAATTATCTTAAATAGATATTAGTAAGACTATTATAGTTAATTAGTATAAATGTATAATAATTATATTACTAATAAGGATTTAATTTTGATGGAATATGTTTGTTATAATTAATTAATAATTCTTTTTTAACTAATTATTGAAACTAAGTAGAAATTAAGATAGATTGATTCATAGGAAAAAAAAGGGCGAAATAAAAGCATTAAGGAAAGCTTTTATTTCAAGGCGATATTTTTTTTATTTTTATTTTTTTGGCATCGAATCCACAAACAGTCTTCACACTGCTAGCTATATGACTTTCTTAAAAGAAAATATTATAATTTTCATAATATTTTATAAATATACCAATGAAGTCTTTTTGTATTTTATATCTAATATATAAATTTTTATATTTACTCATAAAGCATCTGAATAGTTTGAAAGAAAATATCACAGTGTGTTAAGAAGCATTTGGATGGTTGTTGTTGAGTGAATAGTTCGACAATCTTGGCATGCAATGACGGCCCAACAAAGGTGATTGGGCAGCGATGATTTGATGGTGGCAATTTGATGAAGGTGATGGTTGAATGACTATTTGATGGTAGTGGTTGGGCATTGACTGTTTGGTGATTATAGTTGGGCAGTAGTGACTTAGTAGGGCGATTATGCAGCGGTGATTCAGCAATGATAGTTTGACAATGACAGTGCACTAAAAACAATGATCGAACGATAACAGTCTGATGACAGTGGTCGGGTGGCAACAATTCAATAATGGGCGTTTGACAACGACAATCCAACAATGATGGTCGAATAGCGGCAAATCGACAATAGTAATGGTTGGATGACAATGGTCAAACAATAATGTTCAGACGATAATTTGACAACGATGCATAGGCGATGATTTGATGGTAGTGCTCAGGTGAAGCTCGGAGACTTTTCAAGCCTCTAATCTCTCGTAAATATCAAACTAATGATCCCCTCATCATGTAGAGAGAAGGGACATATTTATAAATTTTTAAGAATATCATGCCTCATAAATAAAGCCATAATCTAAAATACTCCACCAACCGATTCATATAATTTTTATTTTTTATCATAGACCATTCAATCAATATTTAAGGGATTTAATGTTGACAACATTAAGCAATCTTTGGCTTGTCGGACTCATCTAGTCAAGATGCTCAATTTGATTATAAACATATTAAATTTGAAAACCATTTGATCATCCAATCAATATACTAAAATGTCTAACTATACTTCAAGCTCTTGATCTAGACTTATTTGGACTTTCTTTTTATTTTTTATTTTATTTTTTGGCTTATTTGGACTTAGATCAGATTATATTATGTCATTAGGTTTGCCTTGTTGAGCCAATCAATTTGGTTATAAGTTCATTGAAATCCAAATTTGGATGGTCCTAATTTAATTTTATTATATTATGTCATTAGGTTGGCTTATTTTAAATATTTTGTTAGGATCCAAAAGTGACAAAAATCAAAATAAAATCAAGAACGTCAAAAAGTATTCTCAGGAATCCAAAATATCTGAATTTGATTATCTCAACCAAAAACAGGCCCTCAATGTTTTAAGTGGCAAGATCGGCTAGGCTGGTCAGCGAATCGCCTTTAGCCACTGGCAAGGCCGGCGGGCAGCGTGCCAGCCAAGCGCATGCGGTTTGGGGGGGGGGAATCAGAATGCATCACGTCACTCGGTACACAACAAAAAAGTGACGTGAGACATTTTGATTCGCCTTCGGATGGCGTCTATATCCGCTTAGAATAATTTATCGTGCATAAGGCCATGCAGAATCGTGCCTGTACTAGTGAGGCCTTAGCCCCCCTTAAAGGAGGCATTGACTATTATTGATGTCCGAAATATTAAATTTAGAGGTGATTTAAGCTCACTTTTATAATTCTTAATAAGTTATATTCCAATATCAATGATGTAAGCATCAAAGACATCAAAATCATTTGAAAATGTTTTGCAACTAAGGTAAAACTCTTTTGAAAGCTAAAACAAACTTTATGGGAGAATAGGCCGCTCATTGGAAACTAATACAAGAGTTCGAAAAAAAGTAAAAGACTTCATAAATCTGTTGTGATATAGATAAAGAGTGTGCCAATATCATATATATTTAATGATTCTATATGAAGCTCTGAAATAAGACTTCTTATTTGAACAACCCATAAATATATATTTCTTCATGCAATAAACACTCTTAGTTGATATTTACAATCAAATGCTTGGAAGTAATGATAACTCATAAAATTTTAATCTTTATGTAATGGTGATATAATAGTTTGAGAACTTGTCCTTCAAATAGGACTACACCTTTTTGGATGCATGCATCTTTTTTTTCTTTCATATATAAGCATGATTGGCATCCTATCATGATGGTGGCAAGCATTTGTCAATGTATGATTTTAACAAAAAAGACCAATTTCTATGCTAAGTAGGGTTATGGAGATTTCTTTAGGAAATTTTCTTTCTTAGAATGTTAGTATAAGGTGTCACTCAAATCATAGCTTATAGTGGAAGGCATTGAGAGAAATCCATCAAAAATATTTGATCTATCTAAAATTATTTGTCAATATGTTACCTAATGATGTTAATCATTGTGGAAGGTGTTGAGAAAAATCCATCAAAGATATTTGACTTACCCGAAATTGTTTGTTCAAGCGTTGCTCGAAGACATTAACATATACGAAAAAGGTCGAGAAATCTACCTAAGACATTTGACCTATTTGAGTTATTTGTTAGAGCATTGTTTGATGATATTTAATATGTGTGAAAGAGGTAAACTCAAACTTCTCTTAATCAATTGTACATTGATTGGAAGGAGTTCATACTTAATCCGTCTAAGTCTATTTGTCAACATGTTACTTGATTATGTTGATCGATGTGGGAGATCTTGAGAGAAATCCACTAATGATATTTGACATGTCTGAGGTTGTTTGTCAACACTTTGCTAGATGATATTAACATGCATATAAGTTGCCAAGAGAAATCTATCCCTGATGTTTCACCTATTTGAGCTATTTGTCATAACGTTACTTGATGATATTTAACTTGTGTAAAAGAGGTCAAAATAATTCCCTCTTGGATTGACTGTACATTGATTTAACAAGGGAGAATGCCACATGTATTACAAATCAAAGGTGAATATTAATCTGTCTTTAGATTATTTTGACCCTTTGAGGAACCATGACTTAGCCAAAGCATTAGACGTCCAAATGAGGACTGTGTAGAGTTTAAAATTCACATGATACTTTCTTGCAAAATTTCTTATATTCACTAGAAGCTTTAAGAAAGATGATTGCCAATAAAATTGCATTGAATTCATGCAAAAAAAAAAAAAAATATATATAGATGAAAGGATTTGCTTGTCTGTAATTATGCATAAGATATTAACATGAATGTCCCTTCAAGTTGTAGATGAAGGTTTATCAGAACCTTCCCTGAAATAATGCACTGTAGTAGGCCTTTTTTTTGGCTAGTTAGCTTATGTATTTTCTAATCAAATGATACAAGAGCTTTATGTCTGTCCATTTAGGAGTTTAGTAATTTTACGTCAAATTTTCTATATTCATTACCAACTGGATTTCACTCAATCAACCATAAATTCATGTTATTGTTACAAACATCTAAACCAAACATCTATGCATTTCTGTAAATGTAATAGCATGATGGAAACACTTGAAGATCTCAAGAATTCATATCAATCTTTGAAAAACAGCAAAAATTCTCCGCAAGAATTCACACAAAATCAGGAAATCAGTAGATAATTTATATTATTTGATGAAATAGAAACGGAAAATATCAAGATAACAATTGGTCTTCTATTCGAGATCTCTCCCAAATCTCTAGAAGACGCTGGAGCCCAAAACCTAAGGGATCTCAAATTTCAACCAAATTCAAGACGCCCTCACCCTAGCAAAACAAACTATTTAATGTAAACAATAAAAAAGAAAATATCTAAACAGTCCCTACATTTAGATTTCCCTCCTAACTCCCTCAAAAATCCTCCCTAAATAGCTCCCTTGGACCGAACATCTGATTGACGCGTACAGAAGGCGGAACTTCTCTGCATGTTTCGCACGGGTTGGTCTCGTAGGACTAGCTGGACCGGTCTAACACATGATTATCTTCAATCTCATAAAACTCTTAGGGGCATATAGGGGCTATATCTAAAAGTAGGCATAACACAATAGTAAAAAAACCATATTCAAATACTACAGTTCTGAAAACCTCCTTTTGACACCAACAAAACAACCTAAAATCTCAGTTAGCGAATGGAACTTAGCAATCTTTTAAAAACAACTACAAGTTGATGGCACCAGTAATGATCTAACAGTTATTGCAACCTTTACAACATTGCCTCCATGAAAAACAACTACAGGAAAGAATAGATTGTGGAAGCTGAAGAGAAAGTCCTTCACTCCCTTTGAACAATTGAGGACTAACTCCATTTCTCCATCCCTCAATGCAAAATCGGTTTGTCTACTCTGGCACCATTTAGAGCTTCTTAATCAAACAAATTACGATGGAAGATACAATATAGAAAAAATTGGAACTGAGAATACTGATCCAACAAGTATGTGATTTAGAGCAAAGACAGACCCATCCACATTGCTACCCAACTCAATTTCAGATCCAGCTTCGCTCTGACTAATGAATGTCACTTTGATTTGATGTGTATTTCTATATTTCCAGAACTTTATTTCATGGTAGGTTTGAATA